CTGTCAGTTGTCGGGTTCCTTCCGCGGCAGCGGCGGGAGGGTTCGTCTCTCCTGTAAAGGAGTCCCGGATAAAAGGGTGCCTCTTCTGTTTTTCTGAGTGTGCAGGACGCAGGTGGCTGGACTTTATAAAACAGGGAGGTGCCTTGCAGGTGTCATTCCTGTAATTCCCTGCAGTAATTCCAGTTCCCGTGTAAAAACCGCAGTATTTACATAGAAGAGACTAAACTGTTTTGCCGCGACATCCAATTCCTGGATGAACCAAATGGTTGACTGCTAGAAACTTGTACTTCCAGTTCGGTATACAGACTGCGACATACAACGTTGCCAAGATGGAATAAAAGTAAAATATCCCCACAAGGGTTTTCCACGCTGACAAGGCAGGCAGCTGCGCTGGATGCCATTACACCATCACTAGCGTGAGGGAGATCCTTTACCTCAGCTTGGCTTCACTGAAGGTGCAATATTACTGTAAGCTATATCTACAGTTGTGTATAGCTATGGAAGGGTTAGCTTGAATTGACCTTTAAGCAATTCTTCCTTGAGCTAAGTACTTTCGGGCTATTTTTAGTTTGGGTTAGGACAGGGTGGAAGGCTTGTTATAGGAACACTGGGGTGTCGTCTTGCTCTGTAGCAGGATAAAAAAGCCTGCACAGAGGTTCAGCATTGATTTATGATAAACGCGCTGCGAGGATAAGACAGCAGCTGCATCTCAAGAAGAGCTGAAACTTCTGACTGCTTGAAAATGAGCATTGCGAATAGCACAGGCTGAAGAAGTGCTGCATGTCAGACGGCCTGGATGCTGAGGAAGAACATAGAGAAAATCTTCTACATGATGAGTTTGTTGACTGGACATGCTATGGGTAATGAAAAGTATAACATGGATGCTTAAAATCCTAGAAGCACTTAGGATTTGGCAACAAGAAGAAACCGATCAGCAAAACTACCCCAGTACAACTCAACATGTGTGTAACAATTTGTATTTCTAATTTGTTTGGTGTGAAAAGGGTTTAAATTAAATGAAGCTGTCCTTTTCTGGAGTAAGACTGATCAGACAAATTGATACTTATGTTGGTAAACTGTCTTGTGTAGATGTGGTATTCCTTGTGTGCACAATAGTAATAGATAGAAAATTGGTCTTCTTGAGAAGACAAAACAGTAAAGGATTAGCAAAAAAATTAAGTGAGCAGATTTAGGCTCTTTCCATTTTAGAATTGCAAGGATATTGCCCCTTTTTTCACAGGGAGATTGTAAAACATAGTGGAGAGCTGAGTCCGCTGAGAATATAGTTATCGCCATTGCAAAAAAACCCAACCAACCAACCAAAAAAACCCAAAAATAAACTGCTGTTTAAAGCCAAAGAAAAGTAAGACTGGTATGCAAAGTATAGAAACATTCTGCTTATTTTTTTGGCTAACATTTGTTTGCTGCTGTTCTGAAAGCCCTTTTTAAATTTCATACATTGCAATGTCCTAAAACCGAGTAGCACTTTGTTGCACTGATGGAAATAAAAAAAAAAAAATCTTTACTATTTTTTACTGAGCTGTTGAGGATTTGCATTAACAATAGCTGAGAATAGAGCAG